CATTTCCAACAACTGTTAATCCAGTTCAATTGATAAGAGCAACTGTTGGGCACAGACTTAATTTCCCAATCCCTCCTGACACAATTATGATCAGTAACTTGGCAACTCATCACTTGCGATAAAATCAGTGTATGTAAGTTGCAAGTTGACGCCACTCACCGAACATCCTATGGACACCACCGAGACCTGGATTTCCAGTATTTGCCGTGGGAATGGATTCTCCTGCCACTGACTGGGGACCTGGCTGCTCCTGCGCTCCTGAGGTGTTCCCGCCACACTGACACTCTGCACAAAGCCCAGCTTCCACTCATTTATAACAAAGGACTGCAGGTCAGAACATTTTTTGCAAAACTCATTGCAGTAACCTGAGCAGACTGTATTAACAACCCTGGGGTCAGGATCTACTGTTATAGCCTGGCATGATACAGCCTTATGTTTAGCCAATGCACAAAGTTCTCAGAAATGACGTCCTAACAGACACACTCGGGAAGTTAAGGTTTCATCTAAGGAGGGCTGATGGAGAAGTCCACCCACACTCTGTTGCCTGAATCCAAGATGGGCACAATCGAGGACATCACAGGTGGTGTAATCTGCCTCACTCTGGAAGCCAGATGAGTTAACTGAAAACAGCACTCCAGCCTCATCTAACAGAAAATCACCTGTGGGTTAGAAATGTTCTTCTGGCTTTGCTCTAAATATATGCACGACTGTGGTGGAGGCAGCAACAAATGCAGCTTACTCTTGAATGCTGACCAGACCCAGCAAGCTGCCCATGCCAGTGTGAGATCGCCCTGCCCTCACTGATGGCCAGGGATACCGCTGGCTTCTCCTCTACCTTCTGGAGAAATTAAGCCCGTCTCCTAAACATTGACTCCCATTCCTCATGAAATGGATCTCATTAGCCAAACAGTAATGCTAACCATAAACCCAAACAGGGCTAATTGGTTTAGAAATTGGATAAAAATAAGCAATTGCAGACTTTAAATGTCAAGACAGGCAATAATTCACCCTTGGTGTTGATTTATCACATCCTACAAATTAATTCTATCCACTTCCCCTGCCCCTGGGAAGTCCAGAGTCAACTGTAAAATCGTCACACAGGCTGATACTATAGACAAAGAGGTTTCATGGCTCATCCACTATGGCAGTCTCACCACTGGCACCAGCAACAGTGCTGTCAACTGCTCATCCAAGGCTCTCACGACAATGCAAGGCAGAAAGGAATGATGAACAATAAATACTGCAATGGGTTAAGGTTCTGGTAGGCATGAGCAAAGAATTAGGTTAGGGAATCTGCCTCTTCATTGTACTTCAGCTCACAAGCTCATCACACTGATAAAAACAACAAACCTTGCCTCAAGTCTGTTCTATCACGTATCCCACAGGCCAGGACGCCTTTCCTCTGAAACAGCTGACAACACACACCATCTTCTACTTCGAGCTTCAGTCAAGCAGCACTCAACAATGATGGAGCTTCCGCTCCCACCACACCGTGGATACGGAAGTCGTACAGCGCTCCTGACGATTCATCCAGAAGCAGGTCGCAGCCTTCTGTCTCCCAGTGCTGCTTCACTCCTGCCTCTCTGACCTGCTTTTCCTTCTTTTTTATATCCCACTCACCATGGTCCCCCAGGCTTGTCCCTGGACTTGGGTTTTATTGTGACATCCTCAGTTGTGGTGTGGCATTGGTTGTGGAATACCAAAACCCATGGATGCTGCAGTTCTGATAGCAAATACTTACATAATACAGTATTTACAGACAGCCTACATATACCCTCCTGTATACTTTAAACCTTCTCTAGGTTACTTATAATACCTAATGCAATGTAAATGCTTTATAAATACTTGCTATACTGTACTGGGCAGGAAACAATGACAAGAAAATGCTATACATGCTTAACACAGGTGAAATAAAAAAAATACATCTGAGCTTGGTTAAACCTGCAGAGACAGAGGGCTGTTGTATTTTACAACAGTATTCTCTTTCAATATTCTAAATAGTTTATTGTTTTCTACCCAACTGCTACTAAGAAACAATTATGGGGTATTTAATATCACCTCTGCTTCCATCAATCTTTTCAAGATTCAGAAAAGTTGTGGAATTCTTTTAAAATGTAACAGCAACATTTCTAATTAGACACTGTTTGCACCTTCCTCTAGTTGAAACTTTTCAATATACACAACCTGCTGAATTTCATTTCAAATAGGATGTAAAGACAAATAAACAGACTGAATCACATGAAATTGCTAATGTTCAATTATATTTTGTGGATAAAAATGGTAATTTTCTATGGTCCAATCTCATGTATTCATTTTCATTAGTGAAACAGAGATCTCAATGAACTCAAACTTGGTAAAGTATAAGATCCTAGAGCTTCCTACATGAAGTCCAATGCCTCAAATCTTTATTTTTTTTTATTTTTTGACAGGCAGAGTGGACAGAGAGAGAGACAGAGAGAAGGTCTCCCTTTGCCGTTGGTTCACCCTCCAATGGCCGCTGCGGCCGGCGTGCTGCAGCCAGTGCACCACGCTGATCCGAAGGCAGGAGCCAGGTGCTTCTCCTGGTCTCCCATGGGGTGCAGGGCCCAAGCACTTGGGCCATCCTCCACTGCACTCCCTGGCCACAGCAGAGAGCTGGCCTGGAAGAGGGGCAACCGGGACAGAATCCGGCGCCCCGACCGGGACTAGAACCCGGTGTGCCGGCGCCGCAAGACGGAGGATTAGCCTAGTGAGCCGCAGCGCCGGCTCGATGCCTCAAATCTTAATAATATGGAATTTCTAGGTTTGCTCTCCAGCAGCACCCATCTAACCACATGAGCACTGGGATGCCTGTTCTCCCCACGTGTGCACCCGATGGTAACTGCCACGTGCCAGAAATAACGCAGCAGCAAACTCAGCACCTCAGAAAGCAACCTCCATTTTGTCCTTCGTTCAGGCTGATTCCCGATTTTCTTTGGATTTTTAAAAATTACTCAGAAATGCATTTTGCAATTGAGCTTTCTGACCTTGTGCTTCTAACTTCCCCTCTTTCACACCGATTTTCTGCTCCTTGGTAAGAAAAGTGTCCTGGGTCCTGTCACAGACACCCTTAGCACACATGAAACCACCACAGGCCTTGCTGACATGGTTTTTCCATCCTGGACAACCTCTGAACTTGAGACCTCACAGCACAAACCCCCCCAAGTCTGCAGGGCACCTGCCAGGTGCGGACTGTGTTGCTTTGACGGCCTTCTTGGTATAAAGGTAAACAGGGACTAGGGGACAGCTCGGCTTTGTCACAGATGTTCTGCAGCACAGTCTGCTCGGTTTGTCAGTGCTGGATCAGTCATCATCCCAGACAGAAGAGCCAGGCTGACTGCTAATACTTACGTGAAACACCAATGCCAATCAACACACTTATCAGTAATTGTATACAGGGTTGTAATAAAGGTTGCATGTATGCCTATCGTTGACTCTGAACAATATTTAAACGCACTGGAACTTTCTGGAATAAAATCACACAGTACTTGTGATTCTGTATAATACTTGGTCAAACACATCATGTGATAATAACGGGACTGTAAGGGCCAGTGCAGTGGCACAGTAGGATAAGTCTTGACTTGCAGTGCCGGCATCCCACATGGGCGCCAGTTTGTATCCCAGCTGTTCCACTTCCAGTCCAGCTCTCTGTAATGGCCTGGGAAAGCAACAAGTGCTCGGGCCCCTGCAGCTGGCATGGGAGACCCAGAGGAAGCTCCTGGCTCCTAACTGGCCCAGCTCCGGCCATTTGGAGCCTGAACCAGTGGATGGAGGACCTTTCTCTGTCTTTCCCTTTCTCTGCCTGCAGCTCCCTCAAATACATAATATCTTTTTTAAAAAAAAGGGGGGGGTGTAAAAATTTTTCTTGATAGTTCAGTTATCACCGTAAAAGAGCTCTGAGTCAACAGTCCCTCAATATAACTGAAAACGCACCTGTTCCTCACAGCGTGATTCATCCCCACACGGCTCTGGACCAGAACGTCCTCACACTGGACCCTCGGCAGGGGTGAGGCGGACATTCAAAGATCTCGGAGAGCAATGGAAGTGTCACCGGGTGGATGTGGGAGCCTGCTGAACCCCTGCTTAAACACCAGTTCCTTTCTTTAGCAGAAAATACTGACTGTGTGTACTTGAACACAGAGCATTCCTCTTCTCTCATAAACACTCCAGGAAAAAATGACAAACCTAGAATCGGCACTTAACGTGGACATAGCCTGTTTCTTCAGAACAGGAAGACTCACGAAACCCCTCTGAGAAATGGGCAGCAGATGAAGATTCCAGCCAAGCATCACAACAAGTGCCCTAGTGACTTTCCTTTCCCCTTAGGTTGTGACGAAACCTCCTTCATGCTCTCTGAATACAAAGGGTGAATAGTTATAAATGTCAGCAGAAAGAAAAAGCAGTATTATCCAATACAAGTAAATATCAGTTTACCTTAAAATTTTGCTTCTAAATGGATACACTTGCCTGCATGCATGCAAGATAATTTAAAATCAACAAAACCAACACTTTTTTTTGGGAAAAGAATGACATATGATGCAGATTAGTCAGCAAGACTTTGTATTTCAGAATTGCAAATCTCATCTAAACTCAGATCAAGCTTTTTAAAAATTTCTAAAGGTTATTTTCAATTGTTAAATGAGTGTCATCTTCAGAAAGTATACTCGGGGCTGGCGCTGTGGTGTAGTGGGTGACCCTGGCACCTGCAGCACTGGCTTTCCATATGGGCGCCAGCTGCTCCACTTCCAATCTAAGGCTCTGCTGTGGCCTAGGAGAGCAGCAGAAGATGGCCCAAGTGTTTGGGCCTCTGCACCCGTGCGGGAGAACCAGAAGAACCTCCTGGCTCCTGGCTTCGGATGAGCTCAGCGCTGGCCGTGGTGGTGATCTGGGGAATGAACCAGTGGATGGAAGACTTCTCTTTCTCTGTCTCTGCCTTTCAAATAAATAAATCTTTAAGAAAAAAAGAAAGCGAAGAAAATATATTCTATTTTGTATTTCAGGTATTTTATTTATTTTATTTGGCAAAGAGAAGCCTAAGAATTTTTTTTTAAAAAACACTTCCAGAGAGAACACCTTTTACCATAAAATAAACCTGTGTGATTTGGGAGGACAAATCTCAAATGTATATTTTTGACTTATGTGCCAATTTTATAATTAGTACAAAAAGTTAATTAGTTCAAATATTTTAAAAATGTAAAAACCGGTCCAGGCAACATAACTATATAATCTTGCTGTAAAAGTACTTATATCAAATTCCACCCAAAATATTTATGCATTATACTAAATTTAGTTGCTCAAATCATTCTTCACTGCCGGCTGGCTTTGCCATTTTCTGTTGTCTCCATTCTGAAAAACAGGAGGAAAAAACGGAGTGGGTAAAATAAAACATTAAGCATTCATGGTTTTCCTCCCAAATTATCTTTACATGAAAACTGTACTGTGACACACTGCTGGGACAGAAGACTTCAGCACTTTAGGAAAGGATGGGCTGTTAGGATTCCTCTCCTTAGCCCGAGCTCGTTTATAGAAGAGGGAAAGCGGAGGCCCCGTGAGACACAGTGGTGTGCCCAAGGTCAATGACAGAGGCAGCCACGCTTTCAGGGCCCCACTCTCCCTCTCCAAGGCAAACTGAGAAAACAGCCTCTACCATTTAGCCAAGGATTTACTTCCTTTTACATAACTGAAGAAATTCCTTGCCAGTATATTTGTAGAGAATGTTTACTAAAATGTAGATTCAAACAAAATAATCAGACTTGAGACTTACTCTATTATAAGCAGTACCTTCATACTTTATACTTACTAGGGGAATACTTTCTCCGAGTATTCTAGACAGTATTAGTATTGTGCACTAAATGCTTTCTGTAATTCTTTTTTCCTTCTATGATGCTTCCTAAGCACTGGGGGAAGAAGGGTATGCTCTAAAGAGTAAATACTTTCAGGGATACAATCAACGTAATGAGCCATTTTGCAAGTATCGAAATTAAAGAAGTCAACTTTTCTTCTCCTGATAGGTAACATGCACCTGTTCCTAGCACCAGCAACACAAAACTGCTGTGCTGGGTGCTGTGGCACAGCAGATTAAGCCATGCTGGGATGCCCACATCCCATACCGGCGTGTGAGTCTGCGTCCCAGCTACGCTGCTTCTGATCCCCTTCTGCTACTGTGCCTGGGGGGCAGCAGGTGATGGCCTAGGTACCTGGATCCCTTCCACCCACGTGGGAGACCCGGATGGAGTTCCAGGCTCCCAGCCCTGCCTACTGTGGGCATCCGAGGAGTGAACCAGCGGATGGATGTGCCTGTGTCTCTGTCACTCTGCCTTTCATGTAGGTGAAAACACAAGACTGCTGAACATGACGAAGAAGTCATGTCATTAAGATGTTACACAGCACTAACAGAACCAGTTTGCACAATAAAGAACACTCACCCATTTTCTTCTTTAAGATGTTGATATAACTCAGCTCTGTTATTCACAGAGTTCAGTCGCCCAGCAAACTCCTGGTGCTTTCTGGAATTGGCAGTATTGATTCTATTACTCCACAAGGAGAGTAAGGACACTGGCCCTGGTGGTGTACATGAAAGAAGAGAAAAAAGGCAGAATAATTTATCACCTCAAAATTTACAAATTTAACAATAATTAGGCAATATCATCTTTCTTTTACACGTAATTTGGTCCCTGAGACCACCTGTGAGTTTGGTAACTCGCTAGGACTCAAGTGACCCAAGGTAAAGTACGCCCATGGCCCGGGGCGATGACAGCAACACAGTCAGGATGTGTGGCCAGAGCAGTGACGGAGACACACGGGCATTAGGCGGAGACCAGAGGAGTCTGCCTGCAGGCGTCCCCGGCGCTGTCCCTGCAGTGAGGGGCCACACAGGCCGCCCACTCCCTCCAGAGGCAGAAATGCAGCTGTGTCTGCAGTGTTTCTGCCAGGAAAACCTGCGTGAGGCTCCAGAGTCCACAGTTCTTGCTGGGAGCTGATCATCTAGGCATTCTCTGCCCAACCACAACAGAAATCCAGGACCCAGCAGAAATTTAGGTTCAGAGGTGATGCAAAATAACCTCACCATGTGGGGAACACTTCAAAACACAGATGTTAGTTATTTTACAAAGGTTCCCTTGCTGGATGTATGACACTGTTTTTTTTTAAATAATGAGAAATATTCACTGCCCATATGTTTTAAAGCTATAAACAGACAATCTCCTAAATAAAATCCAGGAGCAGTGAGGAGGTCTTCCTCATCCACACAACATGAAGTGACCCTGCACAAAACAGCACAGCCGGGGAACGTGTCCCAAGCACAGTGGTCACGGCTCTACCTTTGGACTTTTCCACTTGAGGAGCTTCATCCATTTCTACCAGGGGCTTCTTGTTGGGAGGTTCTGGGGAATCAGGCGAATCTTTTATGATCTCAGCCTCAGCCAGCTCTTCTTTTCCACGTTCTAAGATGCCTTTTAATCTTTTAGAGGACAAAAAAGGAAATGTAGTTTAAATACTTGAAGTTCAAAAATGGTTCAATAATTAAACTGTCTATATCATTCTTTTTACAAGATAGCTGAGCACACAAAACAGACCTTGGGACTACTCAGCAACTTCAATCTAAAAGCAGTTAAGGGAATTTAATAAAGTAAACATTTTCCCCTTTTCTTTCATAATGATATTGAAATAGTTCAGAAATTAGTCTGCAGTAAAATATCAAAAGATAAAGGAAAACAAACTAAAATTAAAAAGATGAGAAATAAAGGATTTTCTGAATAAATTTCACAATTTTAACTTGAAGATAAGTACAAAACACTATTTCAAATTCCAAGCAGGTTTAAGAAGTTTGGGGGTCATGTGTTGTATCTTTGGTCTATGTACGGTGGAAATATACTTATGTTCCACAAGTTAGGAGCTTAACTTGAAGTTTTTATTGAGTCTCTTCAGGGAAGGAAAACCATTCCAGTACATTCAGAGGTGTACTTAAGCTTACTGAGATCTGAATCTGAATTCCTTCTGTCTCTTCCCACAGTGGCCAATTCTGGGGGAGAAACTCAGTAGCTCTAAGGAAGAAGTGGACTTCTACAGTCCAAGAGAAGGGTGCTACGTGTTTACCCATGAAATGACAGGATTTCCAGAACTAGCTTCTGAAGACTTCTGTGCGGGTGGTGGTGAGGGAAGTGCAGATGGAAAACATGAAACAAGATCTGCCATGAACTGCAGCTTCTGACGGTGGACAAGGGGTACCTATTTACTCTACTGTTATATGTCTGGAATTTTCTATAATAAAAAGTTCTGTGTTGTTTTTAAGGAACTTAATTCAATTACAGTATAATATTAGTGACTCAGCTATTCACCTGATTTCTGGCAAGGAGTTATAAATGTAGCCAGCTGGTATGTTATATATGGTATTTTTATTTATAAGCCTTTATAACTTTTTGTTTTTTCAAATTTAACCTTGACGTCACTATACAAATCACAAACTAAGGGAAGCGGGTGTACGGCTGAGGCATGTCTTCAGAAGTAGGATTGCAGGGCCAGTGCTGTGGCATACTGGGTTAAGTCACCACCTACAGTGGGGGGCTGGTTCAGGTCCCGGCTGCTCTACCTCTGGTCTGGCTCCCTGCTAATATGCCTGGGAAAGCAGTGAGGGATGGCCCAAGTGCTTGGGCCCCAGCACCCACATGTGAGACCTGGAGGAGATTCCTTGCATGGGACCCACCCAGCTCTATCCATTGGGGGAGTGAACCAGAGGATGGAGGACCTCTCTATCCCCCTGTGGCCCCCATAATTTTTCCTTTCAAATAAAAAAAAATCTTAAAGCAAAAGAAGTAGGACTGTTCACTCTTCCTGTGTGTCCTGAAGGGCTCCTGTGTCTCATTTTATAACAGTACCTTCCACACTGTGCTGCGGTAACTGATTTACTTGCCTATCTCAACCCAACACTGTCTGGGGCAGAGATCCTGTGCCGGATGCCTGGCATATCACAGGCATTCAACAAATATTTACTCTACAAATGACTAAGGTTACATCTTTGGAATTCGTAACACATAAAGCACAGAATGAGACACATGTCAGGTATGGATTTTCTTACGTTAATTAGGATAAACTGACATTATATTTTTGTCCCAGCTGTCAAAACTCATAATACCTTTTCATGCTCAAGAGAAATCTAGACTGTAAGGATGACAAGAGTATAGCTAAGCAGTGAGTGCCACGTGCTAAGTGGAGTTTGGGTGTCTGGATGTGCTGTTTTCAGATGTGAGACGCAGGGGCACCAGGGTGTGCTATGAGTGCCAGGAGGTCACCTTTCGGAATCTTGCCAAGGCTTTTCCTGTTCGTAATCCTTCACTGCTTTCTCAGATTTGTCCTCTTTGTCCTCCCTCTTTCGCCCTCGTTTCTTCCGTTCTTCCTCCTCCGGGGGTTTGCTCCTACACGCCATCAGACATTCCAAGACTCTCTGATGTTTCTCTGAGTTGCTGATGTGGGCCCTGACGAGGGTCTCCAATTCGTTCCACATGATACGGTACTGTTCATCTCTGCAGTGAAGGGTGAGATGGCCCCCTTAGAAACATGCTCAGTCACAGTGCAGTGTCACCTGCTATGGGTGACGTGAAAGGAAATCATTAAACAAAGACTTCTTTCCCCTTCATAGTTCATGATGGAATTCCAAACTACAAGGTATCCACTTCTGCTATCCTACATTATTTCACCTGCATCATAAGCATGTATATGTGCACACCCTCATATATAATTTGCGTAAGGAGTAAGTTACCCTAAAAAACAACATATATCATATAAATGGGAAATATAGAAAGAAAGGGGAAAAAAAAACCTACCTTTTAGGGCCCTTTCCCCTTGTACCAACTGTGGAAATAGGCAGAGGATCATTTTTTCTTTCCATATCAACTAAGTTGTATATTGTTTTTTGACAGTTTAACACATCTTCTTCTGTCAAAGATTCTTTCACAATAACACTGGCTAATGGGACTACCTGTTAGATTTTTTTTTTAAAAGAAAAAAGAAAATCTGTCTTGAAAAACAACTATCAAAGCATCTAGGCAGAACTTGCTCTAACAGCTGATTTTATAGGTCCCAACGCCGAGGGCATCTGGAACTATCCCTTCACAGTTTTCAATTAGTAATTCTTACTGTAGCAAGCTCACACATTTCATTCTTGGCTTGAGAAATGGTATAAATTACCGATTTCCTCATGTTTCTTTAAGAATATGTAACTAATCTAGAAGAAAGGCTGAGACAACTGAACACTCACCGCTTGCATGTTGAAAATGGTGGTCTGTGAAATAATCATGGGCCAGTAGCGGGTGTGTTTTTCTAACTGATCTTTTGCCCGTTCCAAAGGTACCTCGAGACTTCCATCGATTTTATATCTGGGGTCTAGAAAAGGAGTTAATCTGTTTTCCCTCATAAATTCACCAAAATCCTAATGATAACCAAATAAGATAAAATTAGAAACTCTTTCTAGTGGTTCAGGTGGAGACATGCAAAAGTCTGCTTCCCTCTGTCTTCTGTCCTGTGATCTGCAGCATTTCCTCTCCCAGCTCCCCTCCCCTCACTACTGTTATCCCCTTGTTTCTGAACTTGAAACCCTATCAGCTCCTGTACAACGGAGATGAAGAAAGCTTCAAAGACACAGACACTCAAGGCACTTTCTAACCCTTTTTAAAAACCAAGGAATGCGCGAGTTTTTTAATTCCTATATTCAACTCTTTTCTATTTCAGGTAAAAGAATGAGCTAATCACATTCGAAGATCAACTTGCTCACTGCACAACTGCCTTGACACAACATCAAATGGTGGGTACCTTCAAATGATGAATTACAGGTAATTTACAGGTTTTTATGTGGTTTTTTAGATGTCTTTATTCTCTACATTTTCTACAATGAACACTGGCACTGATTAGCTTTCTCCTTACAAAAATAGTCACGGAAATACCAAATATGAAAGAGGGGAAGGAGAATCAGAAGCTAAAATCACAACAATACTATTTATACTGAAAAGAGACATAATTTACTGGTGTATCTGTTAAAATAACACAAAAGCCTTTTATTTCAAAATAGCAACAACCCAAATATCCAAGTTTCTGTTTACCTTTTAAGTTACTAGGAAAATTAAGTTCTACTTAAAATATTAACCAATTTTCCTATATTTTCAGTGTGTTGATATAATCCAGAATCTTCCAGGTAGCATAATAAGGAAGACTATATAGTGATAAATACATTTTTTGAACAATTATTACAGCAAATTCACCTAATCAAAATCATAACCCATCTCTTCCAAACCTTTATTTCCTGGATCTCGGCATATAACCAGCACTCAATGACTATGTGCTGAATGATGACAGACTAAGAACAGAATGTGTAGATAGTAGAATCTTACTGTAATCCGGTAGTCAGTAACTCTTCCTCCACATCCTTCACTAATTGAAGGCGGGTCTTCTAGAATGGACCGAGAACTGCTAAGGACGTGCAAAAAAATCTCTCCTCCATGGCTACTAAGCATGTGACTAATGACCTTAGAACCTGACTTTCGCGGTTGTTCCAATAAAACAGAACGACCTGTCAAAAACAAGATTAGATCGTCAGTAATCAAAAGGGCTCTTACATATTCCCTGAAGATTTATGTCCAGAGTTGTTCATTGTATTCATTAACTCCCGTATCTCAACCACTATTAATTTAGTATATCAACATTTCAATTCTTAAAAATCTGGATTCTAGCCTTTGCTTTTTCTTAATTACTCCAAGATTATATAGGTGATACACAGAGTTTCCGAAAAACAATTACAGGGGTCTCTGGTATAATGGGCTTGCTTATATGGCTAATTCAATCAAGTTCATAGAAAATCTTTTCCCTGGACATTAGAAACGAAAATGAGACAGCTCCTGGATAACCTCAAGGTTATCAAGGCTACAAAACACAGGGGAGAAGCCTCATACTCAATTCACTTCTACAACACCTCCTCATTAGACTGTCACTGAAACTACTATTTCTCTGGCCCAAATGTTGTTACTATGGATTTAACTTGGGCTCATAACCACAGTGTACTCAAATATAACAATGAAATTAACCTTACAATAAAGATACATTGACTCTAAACAAATTTTTTTAAGAAAAGTATTATTCCATTGATTTAAAAGGCAGAGTAACAACAGGAAGAGACAGAGAGGGACAGAAAGATCTTTCATCTGCTTCTTCACTCCCTAAATCCCTACCACAGTTGGGGAAGAAGCCAGGAGTCAAGAATTCCATCCAGGTCTCTCATGTAGGAATCTAAGTACTTGGGCCATCATCTGCTGCCTTCCTAGGTACATTAGCATAAAGCTGGAGAGGAAGCGGAGGAATTAGGACTTAACTAGCACTCCTATGTAAGATCTGGGGAATCCAAGTCACAGTAAACTCACTGTACCAACACCACCCACACTGACTCATTAAATCGATGGTCACAAAATCTAGTTGATATAATACTACCAGAGGAGATAAAATTCCGGCTTAGTAGACAGAATAGAGAAATTTAGACTTGCAAAAATTTTCACACAAGGAAACCGCAGCTTTGAGGTCACATGTAAGAATCATATGATGTAATATTAAGAATGAATTTATCTGTGGGGCTGGCATTGTGGCATAGGGGGTTAAGGCACCACCTGTGTGGACACTTGTAGCCCTTGCTCTTCCAATCCAGTTCCCTGCTAATGTGCTTGGGAAAGCAGCAGATAATGGTCTAAGTACCTGCTCACCTGCCATCCACATGGGAGATCTTGATGGGGTCCCAGGTTCCTAGCTTTGGCCTGGCTCAGCCCTGGCCATTAGGGCCATTTGGGGAGTGAGCCAAAGGATGGAAGTTATCTCTCCTCCCTCTCCCTGTCACTTTGCCTTTCAAATAAACAAATTTTTTTTTTTTTTTTTTAAGATTTATTTATTTACTTAAAGGCAGTTACAGAGAGGCACAGGCAGAGAACGAGAGAAAGAGAGTGAAAAAGAGAGAGAGGTGTCTTCTATCTGCTGGTTCAACTCCCCAAATAGCTGCAACGGCCAGAACTGAGCTGCTCTGAAGGCGGAAGCCAGGAACTTCTTCAGGTCTTCCATCAGGCTGCAGGGGTCCACTGCCTTCCCAGGCCATAGGAGAGCTGGATGGGAAGAGGAGCAGCCAGGACTCGAACCGGTACCCATATGGGATGCCAGCACTGCAGGCAGCAGCTTCAGGTGCTAGACCATAGCGCCAGTCCTGTAAACGAATCTTAGTAAGTAAATAAGGCCAGAGCTGTGGCACAGTGGGTTAAGCTGCTGCCTGCAATGCCAGCATCCCATATGGACGCCAGTTAGAGCTCTGGCTGCTCCACTTCCAATCCAGCTCCCTGCATATGTGCCTGGGAAAGCGGTGGAAGATGGCTCAAGTGTTTGGGCCCGTGCACCCACGTGGGAGACCCAGAACAAGCTCCTGGCTCCTGGCTTCAGATTGGCCCGGCTTCAGCTGTTGCAGCCATCTGGGGGAGTGAACCAGTGAATGGAAGACCTCTCTGTATATATTTCTTCCTCTCTTTTTAATTCTGCTTTCCAAATAAATAAATAAATCTTAACAAAGAAACTGTATTTGTGCTAAAGGTATGGGGTGGGCATTATGGCACACTGAGTTTAGCTGCTGCTTGGGAAACCTGCATCCCATGAGAGTGCCAGTTAGAGTTCCAGCTGCTCGACGTCCAATCCAGCTCCCTGCTAATGCATCCTGGGAAGCAGTGACTGACATTTCAAGTGCCTGGGTCCCTGCCATCCATATGGGAAACCAAGATGGAGTTCCTGGCTCTTGGCATCAGCCTGGCCCAGTACTGACTGTTCCAGGCACTTGTGGAATGAGCCAGCAGATGGAGGATCTGTTTCTCTCTGTTGCTCTTGTTTCTTTCTTTCCTTTTTTTTTTTTTTTTTTTTAAATTTCATTTGACAGATAGAGTTAGACAGTGGAGAGAGAGACAGAGAGAAAGGTCTTCCTTCCGTTGGTTCACCACCAACTGGCTGCTATGGGCGGCGCTGTGCCAATCCGAAGCCAGGAGCCAGGTGCTTCCTCCTGGTCTCCCATGCGGGTGCAGGAGCCCAAGCACCTGGGCCATCCTCCACTGCCCTCCCGGGCCACAGCAGAGAGCTGGACTGGAAGAGGAGCAATCAGGACTAGAACCCGGTGCCCATATGGGAGAGGCGCGGAGGGTTAACCAAGTGAGCCACGGTGCTGGCCCCATGCTCGTTTCAAGTAGACCAAAAGTATAAATAAACATTTTTTAAAAAAGATATACTGCTCAAGAAAAATGAATTCCTTATGTATTTTGGAATTTAAAAGTCAATGGACTGGGGCTAGCGTTGTGGCACAGTAGGTAAAGCTACTACCTGCGACACCAGCGTCCCACATGGGCGCTGGTTTGAGACCTGGCTGCTCCATTTCCAATCCAGCTCCCTGCTAATGGCCTGGGAAAAGCAGGGGAAGATGGCCCATGTGTCTGGGCCCCTGCCATCTACGTAGGAGACCTGAAAGAAGCTCCTAGCTCCAGGGTTTGACCTGGCCCAGCCCCGGCCATTGTGGCCATCTGGGAGGTGAATGAGCAGATAGGAGATCTCTCTCTCTCTCTCTCTCTCTCTGTCTCTTCCTTTCTCTCTTCCAAACAAATAAATAAATTTAAAAAAATAAGTACAATTCAATGGATCAACGTAAATGGTCTCTATTATTCTAGCTTCCAAAAATGACAAAAAATGAATTTAGATTATAAAAAATCATTCAAAAATACCTAAAAATATATTATAAAGCTGTCTCACATACCATGACATGAAAGTCAAACACAGAGATCTTATTTTTTCCACCTAACTGTTAATGGATATTTGCAATTACTGAAGATTAACACACATTTGTGGCAGATAAACATTGAGACCTATATTAACAAAAACAGGTTTCCAGAGTTCATGTCACAAACGATTGCACTTGTAATAATTTCAGTCAAAATCGATGAAAGTTACCATTTAGAAGAAAATTAGTAAGGCAGGAGGAAGGTCTACTATTTACATCAACGGGTGAGATTCGGTAAGCTCCAGTACAATAGTGTAATTCTGAAATAGAAGAAAACACTAATTTGAAAGAATATAAAGAAATATTCTCACAATTAAAAGGAGAAAAAACTTTGGTTACTGGGCCTCTGTAGCAATGAAAAACATGCGATACTTGGTAAAATGTTCTGCAGACAATGCTTTTCAGAACTCGCTGATTCAGTCTTCCCACCCTCCACGCTCTCTAAATACCTACCGACGTTGTTGGTCCTCGGCGTGCACCACTTCAATGTTATCGTTTCCTTAAACGGGCCTTCTCTGCTGCTGCCACCTAAGTGGGTGTCACCTTTAAAAATGTCAGAGAAACATCGCCATCACTCAATAGGGCTCAAGCTTCAAAGTGTTTGCACAAGATTTCCAAGAGTTTAAGTTCTGTGAGAAAATATCCCTGAGAGAACATTGGTTTTTATAGAGACCTTAGAAAAATAGCAAATAGAGTATAGATATCAGTTATAATTAAAACAAAAATGCAATTCTCCGTCAAATAATCCCACCATCATATAATTTAATCAATGAAAGCTGCTGCACTGAAAATCAATAGCCAAAGTTTTAAGATTTCAAGCATCTACAACTATTCCCCTGTGCCAACACCATTAATGATAAACTAACCAGTTAAGTGCGCCAAGCTTAGGGCATCTAAAATGCACAATCAGGCATGAATGTTTAGCCTAACAGCTAAGATGCTGCCCCGGCCCAATGCCAGCTTCCAACCCATGCAGGCCCTGGGAGGTGGTTGGCAGTAACTCAAGTAACTAGGCTTTTGCCACTCACATGGAAAACCTGAACTGAGTTCACAGCTCCCGGCTCTGGGCCTGGCCAAGCCCTGGCTTTCATGGGCATCTGGGAAGTGAACCAGCAGGTGGGAGCTCTATTAGTCTTTCTGCCTCTCAAGTTAAAAATTAATTTTTAATGTAAAATTATCTACAGTGAATCTTTTTTTTAAAAGATTTATTCATTTATTTATTTGAAAGTCAGAGTTACACAAAGAGAGGAGAGGCAGAGAGAGAGAAAGGTCTTCCATCCACTGGTTCACTTCCCAGTTGGCCGCAATGGCCAGAGCTGCGCCGATCCGAAGCCAGGAGGCAGGAGGCAGGAGGCAGGAGGCAGGAGGCAGGAGGCAGGAGGCAGGAGCTTCTTCCAGGTCTGCCACGCGGGTGCAGAGGCCCAAGGACTTGGGCCATCCTCCACTCCCTTCCCAGGTGATAGCAGAGAGCTGGATCAGAAGAGGAGCAGCTGGGACTAGAACCGGCACCCATATGAATGCTGGCGCTTCATGCCAGGGCATCAACCTGCTGCACCACAGCGCCGGCCCTACAGTGAATCTTTTTTTTTTTTGACAGGCAGAGTTAGACAGTGAGAGAGAGAGAGACAGAGAGAAAGGTCTTCCTTCCATTGGTTGGTTCACCCCCCAAATGGCTGCAATGGCTGGCGCCCTGCGCTGATCCGAAGCCAGGAGCCAGGTGCTTCCTCCTGGTCTCCCATGCGGGTGCAGGGCCCAAACACTTGGGCCACCCTCTACTGCCTTCCTGGGCCACAGCAGAGAGCTGGACTCGAAGAGGAGCAACAGGGACAGAATCCAGCACCCCAAAAGGGACTAGAACCCCGGGTGCTAGTGCCACAGGCGGATTAGCCAAGTGAGCTGTGGCGCCGGCCCCTACAGTTAATCTTAATTAGTTTACTTAGAAGAAGCATAAACCATACACCAAGAGATGTAGGAAGTAACTGTGGCATTTTCTGTATTAATGGGGTCCACAGTCAACAGACGTTGGTCAAACACTAATAACCACACACAAAACTGCAAAGTCTGAAAAACTCTTCAGGAGATGTATACAGTGCTACAAAAGCCTATACAGAGAGATATGACCTGCTGCAAGATAACAGGGACACCTTCTGGAAGAGTGAAGGTGGGTGTGAGTTCTAAAAGTGACAGCGACGCCAGCGACGCGGCTCAATAGACTAATCCTCCACCTGCAGTGCTGGCACACGGGGTTCTAGTCCCGGTCAGGGTGCCAGATTCTGTCCCAGCTGCCCCTCTTCCAGGCCAGCTCTCTGCTGTGGCTCAGGAGTGCAGTGGAGGATGGCCCAAGTCCTTGGGCCCTGTACCCGCATGGGAGACCAGGAGGAAGCACCTGGCTCCTGTCTTCGGATCAGCGTGGTGTGCCAGCCGCAGTGGCCACTGGGGGGTGTGTGTGTGTGTGTGTGTGTGAATCAATGGAAAAAGGAAGACCTTTCTCTCTCTCTCTCTACTCTGCCTGTCAAAACAACAACAAAAAATAAAAAAATAAAATAAAATAAAAAAATAAAGTGACAGCGACGAACGGTGTCTGTGTGCCTGGAAAACGGGGCCAGGCTGAGTTGTGAGAGGGAGTGGAAAGACGAGAGCAGACACTGCAGGGCTGTGTAGGAGCACTTGGGTCACTTCAGACAACAGGAACGCTAGCGAGTTTCAAGCTGCTGGGAACATGAGCAGGATTAGCCTTCTGAAAGCCACTCCAGCAAGGACAGCAGGAAAGAAACCCTCTGTTGGATGAGGGAGCTGGTAGTGCGAGCAGAGAGGCTGAGGGGGACGTGTGGAAGGATGAGAGGAATGACAGTGTCTCAAAGGCCATGCTGAGGTCATTAATGTCACTGAAGTCTGGAAGTGGACGACACTGCAGTCCCTCCACCCCAGCATCTTTAAATTGTCAGAGCGCTGACTCAAGTGCAGGACCGTGCAGGGCTGCCGGCCGGTGGCAGCTTCCATTCACTCTTCTCCCCGAGCCATGCTGACCTGGTCAGAAGCCTCGGTTTTAAAGCCGAGACCACTGGTTGAAATGTTAAAAAGAAATCTAAATTACAATTTCAAAATCTCTACACAGGCTGGATGGAGGAGTCCAGCACTCTTTTCCACACGCTGCCATTTTTTCCCTCTGCCAAGGTCACGGGCCTTTCAAAAGACAAACTCCAGCAGGAGCCTGAGGAACACATGGCTGGCTTTCTCAGAGTGTCCTCTGAGCTCAGTCTCTCCCACAGTAAATGTTACAGGGCACCAGCTGCGTGGCCAGTAACAGGAGAAGCCCCAGGAGAAGTCTGCAACGGGACGAGCTACTCAATCATGCTGGCTGCAGAAGCCTTCTCAGAGCTGCCGCGAATGTAACTGCACCCGCCAGGCCTCAGGAAGTCTCTTACCACTTTTCAGGAAGTCTACGTGTGCATCTTTGTGATGAAGCAGCTCCACATCGTAGTTGGCAGACGTGTTAGCGTGCTGTTCTTCCTTGAAGCAAAATCGAAAGCATTTAAAATAACCTAGTTTCACTTTGAAAATAATGAATTGTCACTCTGCTTTTTTGTTTAAAGTGAGGTCAAATACATCCAACGATAATTAGCAAAAATAAAGGAATAGTGTACTCAGTAATTAATCTATTTAAAGATGCAACAGTTTTCCACAGTAATATAAACTCTATTTTAAAAAACCACTAGCTCCATAGGTAATAAAATACTTAATGATTTGCGTATATTTTGTCAGAAATAGTAGATGACTGACCCAGAAATTCTGGAAATTTTTTACTCCAAGGCACTGACTTGCCAGTGCTTCTCTATGTGTAAATATACACGTAACTGAAATACTTTACATAAATTCAAGTGGAATAGCCGTTAGAGGAAATAGCATCTTTAAATACCTACAGCAAGTAATAAACACCAGTTATGTAAAACAGCCAATACAAACTGATAAACAAGTTCAGTAACTTGTTTTCACAAAACAGTAATAGGCATTTCAACATAATCTATTTACCAAAAAAGACAAAGATCGAAGAGAGTCACACCAGTAGCACACAAAGGTTGTCGAGTTTAACAAAGAAGGTATCTATTACCTCACAGTATCTTTTTCATAATTCATGAAATTTAAGTACACCTGCTATGCTATTTTACTTGTTAATTGCTTCTGCATTCAAAAGATTCTATAAAATAAGCCCAAAATTTCTAGTTAAGAACCAGCCAAGAGTATTAGGAGGAAATTAATGAAAGGATAGTATTTCTCATGCAACTTAGTGTTCATAATGAAGTAAAACTAATTTTTAGATGCATGACTATTTTATATTTTTAGACATAATCTATTTAAATTCAACAGTACTCAGTAATATTCATTTATAGCTTCCTATGGATGAGGCTTTGTGCTGGTCCGAGACAACTTCAGGATAACACTGTGTAATGACAGTGAACAGGCGGCAATAGATTCCTGAGAACAATCTATTAATAAAACCATAGAAATCATATCTATGGTTTTCCAGCTACAGAGTAACAAACTAATTTAAAACTATGACTTATTTTTCCCTCTTTAGACCTACTAGTCATAAACATTACTGGATGAGTAAAAACAAAAATATAGGAAATAAAAGATGCACTAGAATACACAAAGTAAGTAAATCTAGTACCACAGCTGGCAGGAAAAGAATCACAGAAGAGTAATGCAAAGCAGAGGTGTATCCTGCTAAGAATCAGTGTGACTGTTAGAGCTCCTGTGACGTGTATCCTGCTAAGAATCAGTGTGACTGTTAGAGCTCATGTGACGTGTATGTTGCTAAGAATCAGTGTGACTGTTTAAGCTCATGTGACGTGTATGTTGCTAAGAATCAGTGTGACTGTTAGAGCTCATGTGACGTGTATGTTGCTAAGAATCAGTGTGACTGTTTAGGTTCATATGACGTGTATGTTGCTAAGAATCAGAGTGTAACTTTAATTTCATGACATGTTCTTATCAGGAAGCAGAGGGTAGCGTTCTGTGATCCTTCCTTGCTGCTGTTCAGTACTCACTGACCTGTTCAGAGACACTGAATGTGGGCTAGCAAAACAGAAAATGCAACGTGGGGAGAAAGAGTCAAGGTTCAATTCAAATAAACCATACGGCTCAAACACATATTTAAAAAGCAAAGCAGAACTTTCAAAATAGCAAGAGGAATCACCTACCTTCATTGGAATATTTGTAATCGTGGTCGAAGCCAGGTCGAAATGCTGCTGTACTAAAATGTTTAATTTGGTAGCAAGATGCCGCCCTGCACGAACACTGTGAACCTCGCTGGTTAAAACTGGCGACAACTACAGAAAAGTACACAAGAAAAGCGACCCACAACATCAGTTCGTTCTAACTAAGGACTAAATATTTCACTATAACCCTGCAAATTAAGTGTTTTTAAAGTTTAGCGTTTGGGAGAAAAATCAAAACGGTCCACTAATTAATATATGAAATTAACCTCTTTTTTATTCAAGTATATTCTTATTGGAGTGTGTTGCTTTTCTAATAAGGGAAAAATAATAAATTAGAGAATGAAATAATGAAAATAACTGATATGTGGGGAACAATACAAACTGTGAATGGTTTTGCAAACCTTTTTAAAATAAAGAAATGTCAACTGGCAAACAAGACAGAAAACACTTTTAGATCCACAATAACACAAAGAACCAGCTTTGAAGTTCTGCCATCCAGGTTTGATGTGAAAGCTAAGTATTTTCATGAAAGAAGATACTGGCGATGTGACCGTTTCAATGCTAACTCTTCTCAGTACTCATTGTGAATAACTCCCAGTACCTTCTCTTCCACTGCTTTCATGCTTACCTCCTTTTTAGGACGGTCAGATACAAGGCTGTCTTCACCAACCGGGTAGGTATGGATCAAGACCAACTCACATTTTTGAATCTGCATGAGACTTAAAGAGAAATTTCACTTAAAAAAGTAGGAGTGAACATTATGCAGAGAATTCAGGCAGGTAAACTATTAACATCTTTATATACCAACACAATGTACTGATACAATCAAATATTAGTTAACACAAAAGCTAAATATTTATAAACAGTATATAATTGCTGAACTTGTATGAACACTTAGCAATTAATTTAAATGCAGAATTGGTAATTTTATGTGTTTGAAGCATAAAAATAAGGAAAAAAGTATTATATAATTAAGCATAATTTTCAAGAGCTAACTGCCACACAGAAAAATGAATACATTATGTATTACTTTCCCCGTACAAGTGTTTTTTAAGGACAAAAATCTGGCAATTCTAACCATCATCTATGACTGGTTATTTACAAGAATATAGGGTGGGCAATGCTAAAAATTCTCCCAACATTTTATTCTGAAATTCTCAGACCTAAGGAAAGCTGCCGTACTACTCAATGAGCACCTGTATATAGTTCCCCTAGATCCACTGCTGACTGTTTGGGTTCTCTATCCCAGAAAGATGCACACTCCTTTCTTGTTCAACTATTTGAGGGCCTATTCATGAGTACGTCTGCATGCCTCAGCAGGTGAGAACAGTCCTACCAGTAACAATAATACTGTTATGCCACACAAGAAAACAACTGCTCAGAATGAAACAAAGTCCACAATGCAAATGCCCCAAACCCATCCTCACTAGCCGTAACATGGTAAGAAATATGTACTCGGTCTCTGCCTCTGGTTCTCTGCACAGAGCTTCTGAACCCATTTCCTAAGCAACACGGATGGCAGGGGCATCCTATGCTGTTGGTATTTACTCTCTGACCCCAGTCCTTGACACCCAGCCCCTAAATCCCTTGCCACTGCCTGGGTGACAGGAGTATCTTGTGTTCCAAGGAAGCATCCTTGGTGGGCTCCTCCCTAACTCCTGGGAGGGAGCTGATCTGATCACCGGAAAGACCAAGCTAGGATGAGAAGCTCAGCAGCCTTTAGGCATACGTCCTCAGCCGTCAGAAAGGGAAGGGAGCTGGGGAATGAGGTGGTAATCAATCACACCTATCTGAAGCCTCCAGAAAAATCCCAAGCTAAAGCTCAGAGTTCGCAGGCTGGTGAACACGGCCATGGGCCCCGATTTCACAGGGACGGAAGCTCCTGAGGCTGCTGCCCTGCGGACCCCACCCTAGGTCCCTCTCCATGGCGCTGTGCATCACATCCTTGATCACCCCTCTATAATCAAGTGGTAAATGGGTTTCACTGAGTTTTGTGAGCTGTCACGGCAACACAGGAGGTAGTCGTGGAAGGCAAGTCAGACTTAAGCAGGGATAACCTGACGAGCTTGGTATCTGAGATGGGGGACAATCTTACAAGACTAAGTGCATAATCTGTGGGGTCTGCACTAACTACAGGAAGATGAGTGTCACAACCGAACTGCTGGTATCCAGAGAGCTGGACAATGGTTGGGGTGGAAAAACCCACGTATGTGGTTAGACTTTAAGTACTGGCACCAAGGAAAAAAGTTTCCCTTTTCAGTAGAGTGGTTCTTTAAAAAAAAAAGAAAAAAAATCAGGTAACACAGTTAATTGACTATTTTAATTCAGTACATAATGAATAATGCCACCAGCAATTTATGTACTTGACAAATTTGTAACAGAAACTCTGAGAACTTTTAAACAAATATGCATCATAAGTTCATAGACTATGCTGTTCTTCTGATTATTTTTCTTGTGGTGGGAAAATAAATTTTTAAAGCAAAAGGGGAAATGGGAATAACAAATTGTTGCTCAAACATACGTTTTTGGACAAACTGGTTGAGTCAGTTGAGAATTCAAGTGTATATCACTTTAAAATCATTGCCAACAGCTAATGAAATACGTGCAACCACAAAGTCAAACATGTACTTCATTTACAGATTATACTCACTGATCTGAATTTGCAGCTAGCTTGTTGTGTTCATGAATTGTTTCCTGGACACAGTCTTCAAGCATTCGCACGTGGCTATCACTGCAGAGTAAAAAAGATTTAGCAACCTTCAAAGAACAGACAGCAAGAAGAAAGTGTAAAAACACTCATCAGTTATGTGGCCTGGTTACAGACACTTAAAGTCATTTCAGATAGCACCATCTTTGCTGTGCTCATCCCCAATACTCAACAACTAGCTGGAAAGCTAACGTGGACAAAACACCAGTCACGGTGTTTTGGGCGGGCATGTGGGCGGGCATGTGGAGGAGGGGTTCAGTCACTGCACTGGTGCCCACATCTCACACTGGAATGCCTGGAGGGCGGGCATGTGGAGGAGAGGTTCAGTCACTGCACTGGTGCCCACATCTCACACTGGAATGCCTGGCTGAGTCCCGACTATGCCACCTCAATCCAGCGTCTTGTTGATGTGTACTTGGGGAGGCAGCAGCTAAGGGGTCACATGTTTGTTATCCATTTGGGAGACCCAGGCTGAGTTCTCGGATGCTGGCTTCAGCCTGCCCTGGCATTTGGGGAGTGAACCAGCTGATCAATGACCTCTGTCCTCTACCTCTCTCTCTCTGCCTTTCAAATAAGATGAAAACAAATAAAAGTTCAAAAAAGCCAAACTGACTTACATGACAATCTAAACTGTTTGCATTATTACAATGAGTCCATATTTAAAACTGGAAAAACTCAGCCTCAGTATTAAAAGGTGAGAAGAAAAGGAAACCCAGAAAGACCACTCATGGCATCAGGCAGTCCCTCCTTTTTTCAAAGTGCCTCAGAGAAGCACGGCTGTGCCGGACGCCCCACCTTTTTGCATTAGTGATGCAGATGATGCGGCCTCTGTTCCCCACGCGCTCTGCGTTCTCCATGAGCAGAGTGCGAGCCTCGTGCTGGTACTCGGTGATTTTGCACAGGGTTTCCACCGCCGCCACAAGGCCGTGCAGAATACTGCAGCACTCCGGGTCTGCGCGAGGATTAGGAGGCCCAACAGCAGCTAAGGCTGCCATCAGCTAGTCACAGGGAAAGACAACGTTGTTGACCAAAGTATGCTCAAGTTAAACAAACGCATTACAAGAAAATGACAGACCAACCTCTCTATTACATATGGACACAAATACTATTAACAAAATATCAGCAAAACAAATCCAGCACATACAAAAACAGAACCACACAGCATGACCAAGCATCATGTAAGCTATAATGTCAACAGAATACCCAGAAAAAGCATTTTGCAAAATCTAAGAATCTTTCATGATAGAAATAAAACCAAAACTCAGTAAACGACGTATGATGGGAATGTCCCCACACCTGTGCCGGGCCTCTGGGAGAAGCCCACAGGCGACATCACACTGCACAGTGGAGCAGCGAATGCATTCTCCCGACACGGAGTCATGACCAGCAAGGTCACTCAGGGTGCTGCAGGGCCCAGGCCAGAGAAATCAGGGGGAAACAAAGGAATCCAGAGCAGACTGGGAGACAATAAGTACAACTGATTCTGTGTTGCAGATGGTTATGATCTTGTATACAGACAATCCCGAAGAGCTCGCTAAAAACTATTAGAAATAGTAAGTTCTGCAAGGGTCCAGGATACAGGATCAATATCAAAAAACAATCCTATTTCTATATAACTGCAATGAACAATCTGGACATGAAATCAAGGAAACAGTTCCATTTATAACAGATTTAAAATGCAACACTTAGAAATAAATGCAATAAAAATATGTACAACTTATACCTGAAAACTACAAAACATTGATGGAAGGAATGAAAAGTATGACAAATGAAAAAGAATCCTATGTTCACAGACTGGAAGACCTAACACTGTTCAGGTTCCAGTGTCACCCAAACTGATCCACAGATTCTGTGTAATCCCTCTAGGCACCCCAGGTGACCGCTCTGCATCACCTGGCAACCTGATTCCAAAATTCATATGGAACTGCAGGGGATGCAGAACAGCCCGAACAATTTTGAAAAAGAATGAGGTAGGAAGACGTCCACTTTCTGATTTTAACACTTATTACAAAGCAGTGGTAATTGAGACAGTGTGGTACTAGCACAAGGACAGACAAATAGATCAATGAAGCAGAATTAAGAGTCCAAAAAGAAAACCATGTGCTTATGGTCACTGACTTTCGACTAGGGAGAAAATATATGAGAATCCTATATTTGATAAGAGACTTGTATCCAGAGTATATAAAGAACTCTCTACATCTCAGAATAATATAAAGGGACAAATAACCTAATTTTAAAAGAGCAAAGGATCTGAGTAGACATTGTTCCAGTGAAGAAATACAAATGGCCAATAACAGAAATAAAAAACACAATGTGATCACAATATATCACTAGAATGACTAGCATCAGAGGTCGTAACCAGTGTTGGCAACAAGACAAAAAGGAGCCTTCCTTCATTCACAGCTGATGACAGAAACGTAGAACGGTGCAGCCACTTGGGCAAGCAGTTTGGCAGCTCCTCAAATGTTAAAATCAGGTTACCAAATTAACCAGCAACTCTACTCCTAAATACATACCCAAAAGAAATGAAAAATGTCCACACAAGAAGTTGCACAGGGGCTGGCACGTTGGCACAGTGGGTTAGGCCACAGACTGCGATGCCAGCATTCCTTATGGGAGCTATGTTTTGAATCCTAGCTGCTCCACTTCCAATCTGGCTCCCTGCTAATGCACCTGGGAAATCAGTGGACGATGGCCCAAGTGACTAGGCCCCTGCCACCCATGTGGGAAACCCAGATTGGGAGTTCCAGGCTCCTGGCTTAGGCCTGGCTCAATCCTGACTATTGACCATCTGGGGAGTAAACCAGCAGATTTGGAACATCTCTCTGTCTTTCCCACTCCCTTTGTCAGTATGCCTTTCAAATAGTTTAAACCAAAAAAAAAAAAAAAACAAAAACAAAAACAAAAACAAAACAAAACAAAACAAAAAAAACACCTTGCATAAAAGGATTTATAGCAGCTTTTTCATTAATGGCCAAAAGGGGGAAGAACCCAAGTGTCTATCAACTGACAAATGGATAAACAAAATGTGGTATAACCACGCAACAGGATATAATTCAGCCATAAAAAGCAATGGAGGGGCCGGCGCTGTGGCACAGTGGGTAAAGCCACTGCCTGCAGTGCCAGCAACCCATATGGGCACCAGTTTGAATCCCGGCTGCTCTCACTTCCCATCCAGTTCTCTGCTATCACCTGGGAAAGCAGTAGAAGATGGCCAAAGTCCTTGGGCCCCTGTACCCACGTGGGAGACCCAGAAGAACTCCTGGCTCCTGATCGGCGCAACTCTGGCTGTTGCGGCCATCCGGGGAGTGAACCAGCGGATGGAAGACCTCTCTCTCCCTCTTCTCTCATTCTCCCTCTGTGTAACTCTGCCTTTCAAATAAACAAATATATCTTAAAAAAATAATAATAAAGCAATGGAGTACTGAGAAATGTATACTACAACATCGATTAACTGTGAAAATGTATGAAAGCTAAGTCAAAGAGGCCATGTCTTATGATTCTATTCATACAAGTATATTTCAAGGAAAATGGAATTAAATGTTAATGTTGGTGCAAAAACTTTTTGAAACACTTGTAGTGATTTCCTAAGACACATTTTCCTTGAGCTTTCTGGAGATGCCTCATATGAAGTCTCCAGAACAGGGAAAAGTACAGAGCCAGGAAGTTTACAGGACAACTATACCTTCAAGTATCAGAAAAATTTATAAAATATGTCAACATAAGGCAAAAATGTCTAACAGTCTTACTCCATACTTATTTTCAAAAAATGAAACAATCTGATCCATCTTTCTTCAAATAAAACAAAAACAACACAAGTTCAAAGATAAAGTTCCCCATTAACACTTAAGGAGAAATCAGAAAACTTAAAAAAAAAAAGGGAAATATTCTGTTACCTATCATGATTAGAAAAAGCGATGTTTTTTAATGTAGTTGAAAACTTTATGAAGTTTGCAGAATATTCAGTCATCTTTCAATATTCATGCAAGATTAGTCCCAAATACACCCAAAGATACCAAAATCCACAGATTCTCAAATCCCTTACGTAAAATGGTTAGTTTTTGCATATAATCTATGCACATACTCCTGTATACTTTTTTTTTTCAAAGACTTATTTTATTTATTTGAAAGACAAAATTATAGAGAGAGGTAGAGACAGAGACAGACAAGTGTTCCATCCACTGGTTCACTCCCCAGATGGCCGCAATGGCCAGAGCTGTGCCCATCCGAAGCCAGGAGCCAGGAGCTTCTTCTGGGTCTTCCATGCGGGTATAGGGACCCAAGGACTTGGGCCATCTTCTACTGCTTTCCCAGGTTGTAGCAGAGAGCTGGATCGGAAGAGGAGCAGCCAGGACTAGAACCGGCACCCATATGGGATGCCGGCGCTGCAGGCCAGGGCTTTAAATCGCTGTGCCACAGTGCTGGCCCCTCCTGTATACTTTAAATTATCTCTAGATTATTTATAACTGATACACTGTAAATGTTATATAAATAGTTGTTATGTTGCATTGCTTAGAGAATAATGATAAAAAAAAACAAAGTTTATATATGTTTAGGACAGATATAATTTTGCCCTGGTATTTTCCATCCATGCTTGACTGACTCCATGGATGTGGAAACCAAAGATTCATAAGGTTAACTGCAGTGTTACCTGAAAAAACTAACAGGCAGAACTCTGTGCAGAATTTATAAACTTGTGTGTCAATAAGAGGAAAGATCAATATTTGTATTTCTTTGTCTATGCAAAAAGACATTCTGGCAGGTCCTATAAAAAACTGAGAGGGGTGGGGAAAAGCCGAGGAGTACTGTGGGATACTGGTTCCCAAATAAAGGGAAAAAAAGTACTGTTTGTACTATGTGTTAATTTCTAATACTCCCACCTTACCCAATTTCAAACTCCAAATGCAGTATCACCAAATGAGAAGCTAGTTAGAGACACAGACTCAGCTCTTACACTGGTATGAGTAGGTGCCAGCATGCTGCTCACTGCTATGGGATGGAGAGTGGGAAATGTTTCAAGATATACCTTTTACTTTTAATGCAAACATATATGTGTGTACATATGAGTGCATGTAGGCACATATATAAAAAATTTAGTTTTATGTTACATGGGTGTGGTCTATTCATAAAATGTGACCAAAATAAAAGAAACTACTATTCGAAGTCCCTGATACATGGGAAAAGCTCAATAAAAAACTTTCTAGGAGAAGAGTGCTAAGGTCTTGGGGAAAGCAAGAGAAGACAAATTTAGCTTTGTGAATTAGACAGACACGGACTGAATTCTGGCTCTGCCTTTTATTAGCTGCCAGACCCTTGTCCACTTCTTCTGGCCCTTTTCCTAATCTCGAAACTACAAAGAAAAATAGTGGGACCAGAGTTGTGGTACAGCGGGTAAAGCTACCACCTGCATCCCACATGGGCGCAGGTTAGTGTCTTGGCTGCTCCACTTCTTATCCAGCTCCCTGCTAATGCCCTGGGACAGAAGTAGAAGATGGCCCAACTACCTGTGCCCCTGCACCGACATGGGTGAACTGGAAGAATTTCCTGGCTCTTGGCTTCAGCCTCGCCCAGTCCTGGGTTTTGAAGCCATTTGGAGAGTGAATCAGTGGGTAGAAGGTCTCTCTCCCTCTCTGGAATTCTGACTTTCAATTAAATAAATAAATCTCTAAAAAAGAAAGAGGGAAAGAAAAATAATAATACTAGAACCTGTGCTATCTTGGTGTGACATCTCCAAACTTCATTTAACAAACAAAAACAGGACCAAAACCCTGAAGTCTGACAATTCTTCGTAATGAATGCTAACATCTGTAGGCTGGAGTTGCAGCCTATAATGCAAAGAGCCTTGGACCAACCGCATAGGTCAAACCATCTCAGGACTCGTAAAGCTCAATTCCTTCACATGCACAAGGAAGGAGTTGAAGCAAAAGGCATCTAGGATCCAACCAGACCAAACATTTTGCCATCAGTCTGTGCACCTGCTACTCACAATTACTCACAACCAGCGAAAGGTCCCTAACAAGGCAAGCCAAAACTAAACAGTAAATGCTAACAGAAACAAGACTAAGCACAATTTATACAAAATGTCTTTTCTATCTGTTTGAACACCAGTGACGAACTATGTAACTACCTTCACAACTGGCATTTCCCTCTGTTCACAATCTAAAAACAAGGTGTGTAGTGTGATGTGGCTTCACCTCCAAAAACAGGAGTCGTCATTCTTTATGACCAGCACACCTACCACCTGAAAACCTCTACTGCATTGCAGCTGTGCATTAAGAAGGATTTATATAGATTTGCACTTTTCTTTATTCATACATAGCCTGAGAGGTTTCAAGCTTTTCACAATACCTTTGAAAAAGATATGAGACTCTATCTCGTAGTATTTAAAAAGGCAACAGAGGAGTAGCATACGGAATTCTAACAGTCATTTTTCATTAACAGGTACGGGGTAAAGTTGGATAGAAGCAATAAACACAGGGGCCCGCACTGTGGGACACTGGGTGAAGTCACTACCTGCGATGCCAGCATCCCATGTGAGTGCCAGTGCAAGTCTGGCCGCTCCACTTCCAATCCATCTCCCTGCTAAGGCACCTGGGAATGCATCAGGAGATGGCCCAAGTGCTTGGGTCCCTGCTACTCATTTGGGACACCAGGATGGACTTCTAGGTTCCTGCCTTTGGCCTGGCCCTGCCCCAGTTACTGCGGCTATTTGGCGAGTGAACCAATGGAAAGAAGACTTTCTCTCTCTCTAACTCTGCCTATCAAATAAATAAATTTTTTTTAAAAGGAGTAACTTTAAATGTTCTGTAGCATTTACAGTAACTATTATTGACAACAGGTAACTGTATATTTCAAAAAAGCTAGTAAAGAGGATTTTGAATATTCCCAAGACAGAAAAATGATCACTGTTAGATGTGACGGCTATACGAAATCCCTGATTTGATCATTCCACGTGGCTTACACATACTGAAATGTCACATGGCAGCTTTTAAGTACATACAATAATTGTAAATTATAAACAAATTATTTGGGGCTGGCGCTGTGGCGCAGTGGGTTAAAGCCCTACCCTGAAGCACCAGCATCCCATATGAGCACTGGTTCTAGTCCCAGTGGCTCCTCTTCCAATCTAGCTCTCTGATATGGCCTGGGATAGTAGTAGAAGATGGCCCAAATCCTTGGGCCCAAATCCTTGTACCTGCATGGGAGACCCAGAAGAAGCTCCTGGCTTCGGATGGGCACAGCTCTGGCCATTGCGGCCATTTGGGGAGTGAACCAGTGGATGGAAGACCTCTCTCTCTGTAACTCTGTCTTTGAAATAAATAAAAAATAATTTTTTTTTTTTTTTTTACAGGCAGAGTGGACAGTGAGAGAGAGAGACAGAGAGAAAGATCTTCCTTTGCCATTGGTTCACCCTCCAATGACCGCTGCGGCCGATGCGCTGCGGCCGGCACACCACGCTGATCTGATGGCAGGAGCCAGGTACTTATCCTGGTCTCCCATGGGGTGCAGGGCACAAGCACCTGGGCCATCCTCCACTGCACTCCCTGGCCACAGCAGAGAGCTGGCCTGGAAGAGGGGCAACCAGGACAGAATCCGGCACCCCGACCGGGACTAGAACCCGGTGTGCCGGCGCCGCAAGGCGGAGGATTAGCCTAGTGAGCCGTGGCGCCGGCCAAATTTTTTTTTTTTTTTAAAAGACAAATTTGTAAAAAAAAATGAAAAAATAAACAAATTATTTTTTAAAAGAAAAAAATATTTTTCAAGTAATCAGAGTACTAAAACATTCTGGAGTGATATAAGCCCCAATCCACACCAGCACAACCTACCCCTTGAGTGACCTTTCACAAAAAAGTGAAAGCTTAGATGTAGTTTCACGCTGTAATACTAAGCAACCATTTTAAAACCCAACACTGTGATAAAATAATGGATTCACTTCCATTGAAGAGCATCCATTAACTGAAAAAATGTACATGACATAATGTCCTCAGGTATTCCACTAATGGCTGTCTCATGTTGTTCAGTCTGTGAAGAGTGTGGTAGACCGAAGTCTTCTACCCACTGAATGACAGCAACGAGCAGAAGCCACCAGGAACTCCGTATCCTCCAACGGTAACAAAATAGCAGCTTATAACTTGAACTGACTTTATTTCTGCTTCCTCCATTAAAACTGTAATAAAGGAATTTAACTTTTAGAAACTGTACGCAAACAAAGCATACAACCCAAAAGACGAAGAAAACTAACAAGAGCTATCAATGAGAAAGGCATGAAAATGAATGACTGAACGGTGTAGAACTTAAGAGGACTTAGGCTGAAATCCCAGTCCATTCAGGGGAAAAAGGCTGTCTGATACGGATGCGTCACCTGCAGAACTCAGGAGGGCTTCAACAACTGGTGGGGCCCAGCATCACACAGAGCAGGATTGAGATGACTGTGTAGGGAGCAGCTGACCCCCAGAGCCTCACCCTGCCCGTCTAAGTCACCAGCTCTCCCAGATCCCCGCAGACACGCAATCACGCTCCCTGGAGGAACTGAACCAGAAGGGTACCAGGCACAGACCCCACATGGCATGGCACAGGGAAGGTGAGCCCCCAGGGCAGTCCTGCCCAATGTAACGTTCTGTCGCGATGAAAATGCTCTCTACCCACGATCCCCACTACGCAACCACTATCTCTGTGTGGCTCCTGGAGCTTCTGAACCTCAATTTTTAGTTGCGTGTAATTCAAGTTAAAATAGCCACCCGTGGCTAGTAGTGACTGTACTGAACAGCCAACTACAGAAAGATGATACAACAATCGGGAAAGTCTGCCTAGTGAGTGTGAGAGCCCACCCTCTGCGGATGGTCTGAGAGGGCTGAGAACCAGGTGCAGAGCGCACAGGCAGGAGAGTGGCAGAGTTCCTCCAGGGACCCTCGGGCCCTGGGAGAGCCATCTGCCAACTCCGACATCCTGAGGCTTCCCCCACGCTGACGTCCAGACAGCAGTGCCTGCTCCTCAACACACAGTTTTCCAATCTCCCATCCTGTGTGTTGCTTTCTAAGGTCACACAGACAAATAACAGCAGGCATTTAAGAAAAGCCTCAACATGAAAAGAACCCTTGGGGACACAAAGGGATGGAAACAAAACTTCAAATAAACCATTAATACCCTCAGGTAAAAAATCATACCCACAGAACAAAAAAGACAGGACAAAAATGGATACAATTAGAATACAACTACAAATTCTTGGAAAATGAAAATACAATCAGTTAAAAAGCTCCATAAGAGGGTTATAAAGCTCAAAAACATACGACAATGAGATGGAGGAGAAAAAGAGTTAGCAGAGTAACTCAGGAATCTCCCAGGTACCCCACAAAGACACCCCATCGAGAGCCAAGAACATGATCAAGGAACCAAACACAGGAAATCTGTCCTGAAGAAAGGCCAGGCACACTGCATGCAGAACAATCAACACCAAGGCCCGTCACTCACTGACAATGTTTAGAACATGGAGGTGAGAGGCAATATTCCAGAGACTTTCAGGGAGAAATTACGAAGAATGATACTGGACTTGCCAGTAACACCAGTTCTTGAAATTTTGAGGACAAAGTTATGTCCAATATGGTAATTTTTATACCCAAAGTATCAATAAAGGGTGTTACAGGAATTCTGGAAGTTATATTCCAGCAGAGCAAAAGAGAGCACGAAGAAAAAGAAGGGGAGAAAATGGGATCTGAAAGGCAGGGACAGAAAAGGATGAGAGCAAGGCAGTGGCCCAGGAGCAGCCAGCTCAGCCGCACGCAGCCAGTGTGTAGGGGAACGCGCACCCCATGGCTCAATTACCCAGCATGCTCTCGGCCAAAAAACTGAGGCGGGTTGTGAGATACAGAGAGAACTATCCAACTGCAGGGCAGAAAAAAAGGAAATGATAAATTCTAGGAATAAACAAAAAACTTACACAAGGACATAATCACATGTACCACTTGCCATTACAGAAACACCTTACATAGACTTTATAATGCAAATATGGAGTTGTGAACTAACTAAAAATTCTGAATATTACTGTACTTCAGAGCCATACACAAATACTTTCTGGACAAAAAATTTTTAAGCATTTTAAAAAAGTTATACATTTAGAAAATCTTCAAAAATGACCACAGCTCAAAACCCAACCATACCTCCTGCAAATTTTGGTCTTCTTGAGTCCAGGAATTTAAAACATGAGCTCCAGAGTCACTCACAATGAAATTCACCTACATGACATCAAAGAGACAATCAGTATTGAACTCTAATTTCACTTAATCACACCCCCTTATAAAATAATACGCAATTTCTCATGATGGTTTGCCGTGTGACTGACTCATTCATCTCACAGTTGTGGAATGCTCATTCACGCCAGGAGCTATTCCTGGCCATGCAGACGCAGGAATACAGTGGTGAGTAGACACTCCTGTCACTCACAAGGTGGGGGAAGCCAGGGGTGCGGAATGTACGAAGATAAAGGGCAGCGCAGGAAGAATACAAATAAATGAACCAGATAATTTTGCAGAATGGCAAGAGCTATAAACTAGGTTGGTTACGTGGTCTTGATAGCGTGGTCAGAGATGAGCTCTCTAGGGGAGAGGCAGTGGAGTGGAATCCACAAGGACCACAGAATGCGGCCACTCACAAGCCAGGGTGAGGGAACTCCCGGCACAGCCAACAGCCAAGGAAAGACCTCTAAATGTTTCCCTCTAAAGGGTTCAGGTCTAAGCGGGCACCGGCATGGGGGTAGGAGGTAAACTGGAAAACACAGGCCATAGCCATAGCCATAGCCATAGCGTACTGGAAGTTACATAACAGATTCTGACTTTCTTCTAGGTGTTAAGATACAAACTTAAAAAAGGACAGGGTAAGATAACAATGAGGAACACACTAGAAGTATCAAACTGCGAATCCCGTTCCTTCCTGGGAGGAGGGTGAGATTTACATCTCCTCCCTAGACAATATGATCTAAGCCATGATCTTTTTTCCTGTACCCAAAACATGAGGTTTCCTTCCGTTAGGAAAAAGGTTGATAACTGCTCTCTCCTAAGGCTTATCTGACAGGGATATATTTTACTTGGCACTTTACACAGATTATCTCACTTAAACCTGACAGCAACAAAGTAGGTATTACGCTTACAAGGGCAAACAGGGGTGGAGAGATTTAGAAACAGGATCCAACTCGTACACTGGTAGCTTACGATGCCCGATTTAAACCAAAGCCTGGGCCCCAAATCATTGTTACCCTTCCTTTCATATTTTTTACCTGTTAGAATGCACAAAAATTGGAAGGGCTTATGTTTTAATCTGAAATGCACCTGCATGTGTAAGGACTCCAACGTTCACCTTTGCTGCTGCGCCTGCCTCTGCCAGTCCCAGTAAGAATCAGCCAGGTTCTAGCCTCGATGGCTCCCAGTGAGAAAGCAAATCATCTGCTTCTGGCTAGGCAAATGACGCTCCCCAGAAAAACCTTGGAGATGCTGAAACTAAGGACAGCTCTAATAACTGCAATTTTTATCAACTGTCAGTTCCTCATTGTACCGATAAATCATTCCTACTTAGCGTTCTTAAAAAACATTTCTTTCTGAGATGACCAAGTCCTATAGCAGTTTAGTTGACATTCACCAAAACTGCCAAGAGCCAGCCGGCCTAGGTTCAAATTCTGGCTCTGCCTGTGCCTGGCGAGGTGATTCAGGACAGGTTTCCTCCCTGCCTGTGTCTGCATCTCCAGCGTGGCAGCTAAACCAGACTGATAGCCGCTAGCACTTACCAGCAGAGAGCCTACAGCCAGCAGCCGTCCTGCTGCTTGGAGTGCCAACTGTCCTCAAAGGCCAGTGCTGTTCCGTGCGGGTTGTGACACACTTTGAGCACTGCCCCAATACTTACGACACCCATCTCACAGGCCTCTTGTGAGCAACAGAGGACTTCTAACAAACATGAAGCTTTCTGGAACACGCCTGCGCTCAGAAATTACGAGCTGTTATTATTAGTATTGGCTCCAAGTAGATACTCATGATGGTCATCCCTGACGGCAGATCCACGTATATTTTTTTAAGCAGTAAATGAACAGTGCTAAATTAAGCCTACAATGAGATTAATATGTAAAAAAAATTCTTTACACAGCTAAGTTCATTCACAAAACCGTGACTTAGTACTCGCACTCACCAGCTTCTTGAAGGGAAATATGTCATACATTATCCTGCAGTACTCCATGGAGGACTCCACGGAGCAAGTCCACAGTGACTTGGATATGGGGGCCAGGGGGATGATTCCTTGGGTCCTGTTCTTCACCAGCATGTCGAACTCCACGTGCTGCCTGCAGGACTCTGCCATGTAAGGGCAGTGATCCACGACAAAGACTGTTTTATGAGACTCAGAAAAAATCTTCATTTTGTTGCAACCTGCAAGGGGGGGGGGCGGGGCGGGACATATCAGCCCAATGTTTACACCCAACAGTTAATGCCTTATGTTATTTCTAATTAATGCATCTTTTCCTCAAAAGGATTTTGGTAGGGAACAAGAATACGCTCAGCAAACTCTGCCCAAGAAAACACAAATGCGAGGGGTCAGGCGAGAGAGCCAAGGCCCCGATTCCAGGGGCGTGCGCCACCCCGGTACGACGCTGTCCCCCCACCAGGCACAGGCGCAGCCACGGTCCACACACACCGCTGAGCCTGTCGGATGAACCCAACATTGGGAGAACACCCTGTTTTTGTTTTTTTTTTTTTTAAATACAAAGGCATCCGACGGCCTTGGGGGCGCCGCACAGAATCAACTACTCTTCAACACTTTGATGATCCCTGCTTATGTGACATCGCTGCAAGCTGGCATTTCTAGGCTTCCCTTCCAACCAAACCCAACCAAAAACAAAACAACACAACGCAAGAGTTCTAAAAAAAAAAAAAAAAAAAAAAGAAGGGGTGGGGTGGGGAGGGGGAGGGCTGGGGGGAATCCACAGGAGAGAAGTGACAGCAGCAGCGCCTCGTAAAGCCACAGAGCGGGTGTCCCCCGCGCCATGCACCCCGAAACTTACTTGCTACCACCCGCCCGGCGGAGACGAGGCACTTTTACAACTTTTCCTCCTAACAGCACGGCGTCCCTAATACAATCTTCTCCCGAACAGACCGTCCGCGTTCGCGAGGCACATGGGAAGCGGGGTCGCGGCGCTCATGGAAACGAACCGGCTTCTCGGCCCCCAGCGACTGCCTTCCCCGGCTTGCAAACGCATCTCCCCCCCATGCACGACTCCCCGGGAGAAACCGCCTGGGCGCAGCGGGCTGGAGCGCGGGGGGTGCGGGGTGCACGGCGACTGCCGAGGAGAGACCTCAGGGTCGACGTTCGCTTACTTTCGTGCCCGCCCGGTCCTGCAGGGAAACGAACGGAGGCTGCGCACCGCAGCCACCGCCGGAGACGGAAGAGTCAGCGCGCAACCGGGAGCGCCCGGCACCGCACACCGGCGACCGCGCTTTCCCCGCTCATCGCCTGGCACGCCGGTCCCTCTCAGGCCTCCCGGGCGCGGGCGCGCGGCGCGGAGGCGCGCCCGCGCGCGCGAACTCACTCACACACGGGCTCGCGCGTGCGCACAGCGCGCTCCTACAGCCCCGCCCAGCTTCCCTTCCCCCGCCCGCCCGAGTCGCCCCCACAGGAAGAGGGCGGAGCCAAGGAGAAAAAAAAAAAAGCCTCCACCGCTCAAGATTTCCTACCCGCTAATTTTCCCAGTCATCCATTGGGATGAACGATCCGGGAGACCTGAGTGCTTCCCCACCCGCGAAGTATCGACTATGGCACCGGCTTAAACCAGCCACAGCCCCCTAACAGGACGGCCCACCCGCCCGGTCTCCCCTGCTCGGTCTCTTCGCCTAGGCCAGGTTCCCCCAGAAAAACTCGCGAGACTCTGCGAGAGGCCGACCAAGAGCCTGGGAGTGGATGAGTAGGGAGGGACCTAGGGAGGCCACGCCCCTACCTCGCGTGCCAGTCGGCGAGTGGTCGGCTCTGCCCCACGGTAACGCGGGGGAGGAAATCTCGCGAGGCCGGGGCGCTCTGGGAGCGCTGGTGGCGGGCGGTCGGCGGCGGCTTCCCTCGGGCCAGTGAGGGGCCCGCGCCCCCACCGGCTCCCTGGCCGCCTCTCCGGTGGCTCTGCCCGCTTCTGCGTCTTCTCGCTGAAGAGACTGACGGGGGCCGCGAGTCTCTGCCCTTAGGGTTGCATAGGTCCGGGTTGGCGGAGGCTTTGAGTCCCAGTCTCCACAGCTGACGGCTGCGAGGGATTGAGAGCCGAGTAAGTGGACGGAGTGCAGGGAGAGGCGAGCGGGCAGCCCGCTCCGCCTGGGCCGCTCCGGAGCCGCCGGCCGCCGCGGCCCGGGCAGCTCGCCCTCGGAGCGCTCTGCTCCTGGGAGCCGACTTCCTGGTCCTCTTCCCGGAACCGAGGTGCGGAAAGTTGAAGCAGAAGCTTCGGCTCCAGCGCTGTGGACACACCCTCCGCCTCACCCACCTGGGCGCTCCCGGGCAGGGGTGGGGGAGGGGGAGGGACGGACCCCCGGCCGACCCCAGTGGCCCCTTGGCGGCGGCGGGCGCGCGCGGCCATCGCCTCTTGTCTCGAAGCTGCCCTCCTGGGGGCTTTCCGGTTTGCTGGCTGTCTTCTGCCTGCCTCTGTGTCCGTCCTGCTGTCCGCGTTAGGACCCCATCCTCGGCTCTGCACGGCCACGCACCGTGCACCGCGTTACTTGTAATTGCAGAATGAGTGCGGTCACACACACACCCCTCCCCCTCCCCAAGCCGGTTGCTGCCTCCCGTCGTCCGCCCGTAGGCTGAAACTTGACCAGCGACCGTATCGGTCGGACCCCTGCAGACACTCGCAGTGTCCACCCACGCCAGACCCCTGGCTGGCTGCCCGGGCTCGCCGTGCGGTTTCACACCTCGGTGCGTGTGCGCCGCGCCTTCTCCTCGGTGCTCCCCGCGCACTTCGGGCAGCTCTGCCGCGTTTATTAGCTTGTGCTCTTTGTGCGTCTGTCTGTCTGTCCTGGAGTCGTGGCTTACTGCTCCTTCGGAACAAAAGCTGGCCCAGTGCTGGTCCACAGGCATTCGTGTGCCTGTTGATAAAGTAGCCGCCGTCGGCGATCTCGGCCTGAACATGCTGGACCACGAGGTGCCTCGTGTGTTCGCTTCACGCCTCTCGACCTTGCGGCACAGGTGGAGTTGTACTTGTGGTGGACTGAGACTCTGTGTAATGGCGAAAACCTAGCATGCTCTTAAGTGGTCTTGTGTTTATTTTACTGCTGTCTGTTAATATTTGGAAAATAATGGGAAACACGTAGGTGTCTTAGATTGCAGACGATGCTTAGCGTTGGGTTCAGGCAGCTCTTGGGCGGACTTCTTGGCTATAGATGAGGTGGGTTTCTTCTAGAAATGTCATGTTGCGTGAACATATGTACGTGCAATTTATTTTTAACCACAATTCTAAGGGAACATGTGTGACTTAGAATCTTCCAGTGTCCCTATTTCCAGCTTCTGTGCCTTCCAACTTTAAGAATTCATTTTCTTCAGAAAGCTGCTCCATAGAGCTCCAAACATCTTCATTCCGCCGATGTTAAGGACACTGGAAATTTTCTGTTTTCGAATGCGGTGATGGGCCTGTGTAAGATGCTTGCTTTTGTATGTCATTCACATGCACTCCTTGTTCTGTTAAGAATATAGGTCTATAGAAGCCGTTAACTATGCCTTTTTTCTGTTTTCTTATGTGTCATTTAATATTATCCACTAATTAACATTAGAGGCACTCGCCTGATCAGTGAGGAAAAAAAAAAAGTTAGGCTAGATGTAGACATGTTGGAGGCATCCGGTGGCACCTGAAGAGTGCCAGTCTTTCTGTAAGGTTCACCTGTAGGACAGTGGATCCGTGGATAAAGGAAGAAGAGTGACTTGGTGTTTTTCTTAACCCAAATCTAAAAGTAAGCAGCTGGCAGTTGCCATCCTGGGTAGGTGGTGGTTTCTCTTTCATCAGCTGCAGAATGTTCTGAACCTTCTGCCAAGAGTCTAACTGCAAATGTCTTTGGGTGGTGAAGTGGGCGAGAATATGGCTAACACAGCAAAAAATTAAAAAAAATTGGCTTTAAAAAAAATCCCCTGTAATTTGGACCTACATATAGAAAATAATGTAAGTATTTTTTGATTAAACAGGCACTGTAAAAATGAATTGATAATACCCCTTTTCTACTGGAGTCTATTTTTAGAAATTTAGAACTTATTAGAAGAATTGGAAAACACTCTTCCCTCTACTTACCAAAAATACTAGAAAAGCACCTTGGTTCTCACAAAAGGAGGCAGACTAACTGCATATTAGAAAATATTTTAAACTTCGTGTGGTTTCACATATAGGAAATGAACATGCAGATTCTTAGAAACTGTGTTTTTCTGAAGCTGTTATAAATATGCTTTGAATTACCTGCTATTCCATATCCTGAGCAAATAACTTTTAAGTTAGAAGACAAATTTTAAGTGTAGTTCATTGTGATAGGACTTCGTCATGTAATCAAGAGAGAATGTTTTTTAAAGTGGATGTTAATTATAATTTTAAAAAGTTTAGTAAACATTCTTGAGTCATAATTAAATGATGCCTGATTAAAATGGTTGCTAGACTTTTATTGGTTATATGAAAAAAATATTTAAAATTCTGTTATTTTAAAATTTTTTTCTAACTATAATCATATAATGTCTTCATTTATTTCCGGTATTTTAATATCATGGATTGCAGGGTGGGGTCAGGGAGTCTGCTGTGTCCATTAGAGAGATGGAGATGGGGTTTGTTTAGGAAAAGCCCTGTGGATCCGACGAGGCTTGACAATAGAATACTAGCCTGGGGATCAGGCATTCTATTTCTGGTATAGTATGCTTGCTTGGTTGTGGCACTGTCACTCGGCTCCTGATGGGAGAATTTGGACTCCCTGCATCTGTTTCCTCATTGATGACATGAGAATGGCATCCTGTTGCTAAATGATGATATGAAGAAATATTCCAAAGGTTCGGAAATTTACCAACAGTTTGAATTAATTAAAACTATTGCCTAGCAGTTTGATTTTACCCTAGCGTGTTCTAGAAATCCATTTGTGTTGAATTATGTTGGAAAAAAGCCTAAGAGTGGTAAAGCAAATTTGAGGAAAGAAACTGACTTGCCATAACTGGGTTATTGTTATTTTTGAAAGATTTTTATGTAATCTAGATACGAGTCCTTTGCCAGATACATGATTTGAAAATATTTTCCCAATCTATAAGAATTCTGTAATTTTAATGAAGTCCAGTTTATCAAATTTTTCTTCTATAAATTATGCTTTTGGTATTGTACCTAAAAATTTTTTGCCTAACCCTGTCTTAAATATTTTCTCATATTTTTTTCTAAAAGTGTTATTTTTAAATTTTGTATTTAGACTTCTGGTCCATTTTGAGTTAACTTTTGTATAAAATATATAAATTATGTTGGAATTAATTTTTTGTCCTGTAGATGTCCAGTTCTGCCAACACCATTTGTTGAAAAAAACCTTTTTCCCCTTGACTTGCATTTTTTTTCAAATACCTATTGGCTATGTTTCCATGTGCCTATTTCTGGATCTTTGTTCTGTCTCTGTCAGTACTTCACTGTCTGGATTGCTGTAACTTTATACCAAGCCTTAAAATTTGATTGTGTGATTTCTTTAGTTTTATTTTCAAATGGTTTTGGATAGTCTAGTTACTTTGCATTTTCATAGAAATTGTATAATTGTTTATTCTTCAAGAAATCCTGCCAGGGTTTTGATTGGAAATTACTTTTTTTTTTTTAAGCTATTGTAAAGGTTTTGCTTTTTACATTTTTTGGTTTCCAACTGTTCCTTGCTAGTTTATAGAAAACCAGTTAATTTTTCTGCTTGGAGCTTGTGGTGTTGATATAATCACATATTAGTTTTAAAAATTTTTTTCTTTTTTTCTCTTGGATTTTCTATATAGACAACAGTGTGGATTGTGAGTAAGATCAGTTTTATTCTTTTGCAGTCTATATGCCTTTTTCCTTTTTTCTAGCCTATTGTACTAGTATCTTGAACCAGAGTGGTATTTGGGGACATCTTTGTCTTGTTCCTCATAACAGGAGGAAAATATCCAGTTTTTTATCATTAAGTATGATGTCTGCTGCAGAATTTTTTGGAAATCTGCTTTCTCAATTTGAGGAAATCCCCTTCTAGTCCTAGTTTGAAAAAGATGTTTTACTATGAAAAGATGCTTAGTTTTTTCTGATGTACCAGTTGATAGGGTCAAGCAATTTTCTTCTTTGGTGGACTACATTGATTTTTGAGTTTTGAGACAGTCTTAAATTCCAGAGTGAAACCCTCTTGGTCATGGTGTGTGGTTCTGTAGCCGTTACTGAATTTCACTTGCTAATATTTTATGAGGGTTTTTGCATTTACGTTAGGAGAGATACTGATCTGTAGATTGCTTTTTTTGTAGTATCTTTTGTCTACTTTGAGTATCAGAGTAACAATGTCATGAGTTTAGAAGTATTCGTTTTTCTGAGTTCTTGAAGAGATTGTGTAATATTGGTGTTATTTCTTCTTTAAGTTGTTTGGTTCAGTTTGCTATATGTGCTTGGAGATTTTTTGCAGAAGATATTTAACTACACATTCAGTTTCTCCAGTAGTCATAAGAATACCATAGAATAGTTAAAAAAAACTTTAATAGTTAGAAACTCTGCTAACTGTAATTAATAGTCAAGGGACTGTTACTAGTTAACTGTTTCATCTTGCTTGACCTTGTGACTCGTGGGTTTTGAGAAATTAGTCCACTTCATCTAAATTACCCAATTCATATGTATGGAATTGTTGTATTCACCTGTCCTTTGAATGAATTAGGGGTCTGTGGTGATAGCACTTCTTTCATTGCTGACACTGGCTGTTTGTTTTCTCTATTTTCTTGTTCAGTTTTGCTGGAGATTTACCAACTTTATTGATCTTTGAAAAGGACGAGCTTTTGATTTTATCAGTTTTCCTATGTTGCTTTTCCTGTTTTTGATTTCATTGATTTTACCTTTATTATTTTCTTTTGGGGTCTTCTTTTCCAACTTTTTTCTTTTTTTGGACAGGCAGTTAGAAAGAGAGAGAAAGGTCTTCCTGCCATTGGTTCACTCCCCAAATGGCTGCTACGGCTGGCGTGCTGCACCAATCTGAAGCCAGGAGCCAGGCACTTCCTACTGGTCTCCCATGTGGGTGCAGGGCCCAAGCACATGGGCCATCCTCCACTGCCTTCCCAGGCCACAGCAGA